CAGACTTGATGATTTAATTTGCAATCCTGGATACCAGGACATCAGTTATTCCTTTATTTGGATTATTACCATTAGAATCTTGATCAAGTAAATTACAGCCGAGGACCTTTTTTGTTACTCTCATCCTCTCCCATCATGCAACATTCACCATTTTTTCATAGCATAGAGTCTTCTGATTTTATGAATCAGCAAGTTATGTTATATTCACTTGGTCAGCATTGTCTCTTTCCCGAGTCTCTGAGACAGCTCTAGACACTGCCTTTTAAAAGGAACAACACTTATTTTGAACATATGTATGGCTGTCCGCCAAGCTGCTGCCAAACATGATAATGTTAAATCAACTGCTCCCAAGACGGGGCAGACAGGGCAGACGGGGCAGACGGGTGGTTTCTGTTTAGTGGACACATGGGCTCCCCAGTTATCAGAAGTTCTACCACAGGAAGGATTTGACTTACTCTTTCTTACTGCAAAGAAAGGAGAAAGAGAGAACAGCAGGTAAAGGGAAACACTTTTCACCGTGTTGTAAGGAAGACCTTTGCAAACCGAGCATGACTTTGTTAGTGTGCTCCGAGCTAGACGATGATGATGACCCTCTCTCTCAAGGATGCGCTTAGAGCTTGTAGAACTTCTACTGTCAACTTGGTGATTGTGGGAACACTTGACACTTTTTAAAGAAAATGTTTAAAACGGGGTTATTATTTCCTGTAATACATGTATAAATATTATATATGTATTATATATTTTCCTGAAATCCACCAACTTATTAAAAAGGAGTTTTTGCTAGTACAACCCTGGAGGCCTTTACAGCACTGTTAGATGTGATGTTCATCCAGCGATGACTATGCGCTCTCTTCTCCTGAAAGCTGCGAATCTTGCTGGCTGTAATTTTTTTTGTTTTAGTTATATGAACATGTAACTATAGCATAAAGAGAAATTATTCAATTCAGAATTACATTAATATATTTAATGAACACATTTAGCCAGAATGTTAATGTGCATCAGTGCCCATAAGCAGAGGTGGCTTCTTTGAACTTCTCACAAATCTGTGACTGCCTATTCCAACTGAAAGTCTATGTGATTCACAAAGCTAACTCAGAGAACACTCTGCAGGGTATTAAACAGGAGTACTTGCTTTCAAAATGTCTGAAGTCACCACAATTTTAATAACTTTTTGAGTGGTTGCCAGTTTAATTTTCAGTATGTGCAAATTGGAGGTAAATTATTTAGTGCTTCCAGAGAATGTCCTTAACATTTTCATTTGCTTTTTAAAAACCCCTCTTTAATGGGTCATAAAATAGAAATCTTTTACAGAATATGTATGTATGTGTGTGTGTGTGTGTATTAGTTGGAAGCAAATGTACACATTTCAACTATGTTACTGTAGATTGAAGTGTTTACTGTATTTCATGAAGTATAGAAGACATTACTTACATAACAGTGGCTCTAATACAGCATTGGGCCCTCTCATTTTGGGCTGCTTGTGTGTCTGCAGGTGTACGAAGGCACAGTGACTATAAGGACTAATTGATTTTATTTAGTACATAATAAGCCAGAGCATTACTTAGTAACTTATTCTGTGGAAGAACTTAGTGTGCTCGAATTTAACTTTATCAGCTATTGAGTGCCGGGGATCATGAAAATATACCTCAAAAATTTTTGTATTGTGATTCATTGTGAATGTTTCTTTTGTCTTTTTACTTTGAGAAACTGCTTTAAGGGTGGTCCCAACAGCATTTTAAGATGCCTAGGAAAAACACTAATTTCTGTTGTAGTTCTGTTTGTGGCCAACAGAGTCGAGCAAGTTGTGTTTCACCTACTTTTTCTGCTTCACCTGGGTTACGACCACTCCTGGAATGTCTCCTCGTTCTCAGGACTTCGCGTTTCTCTTTCATCTGTCTTCCATCAGATCCTCCTTCAGGCTCCTGTTTTTTTTTTTTTTTTTTTTTCTTGAGTTTCTTAACTGTCAGTTTTCATCATGGTCGGATTCCTGACACATAAAGTCATCTCAAAGGCTTCTTTTCTCGCCGATCAGCTCCACTTCTACAGGCAAGATCCCACCTTCCTTTACAACTGTTTCTCATATATCCGCTTTGCAAATGTCCAGCTGATGTTCCTGTAGGCACTTTCAACAAGGAGGCTGCAAAGAATTCATGCTTGGTTTTTCTTTCATGTTCTCTACACAAGACCATGCACCCACTTGTAATACACAAACACTAACATCATCTTCCTTGCTTGCTTCCTGCAGCCAATGAGTGTCCATGGCCTTTTAATTCCAGCTTAAGAGATCTCTTAGTTTCCGTTTGTATGTGTCCTTCTTGCCACTACTTTAGTTCAGTTAATGTCAGTCCCACACCATTGTGACGCTCTGTGCATCTTCCCTTCTGATTTGTTGTTATTACAGTCATATTAGCAAGCCCTATTTGGTTGGGCTCTTTTTATAACAGTTATTATTGGTGCCTGAGTCAATTCAAAAGTCATTGTTGTTTTAACTATTAAAAGAATGAGAGGCTGATATTAGCAAACATTCATAACTTAGAGTGCGATTTCAGTATATCTATTGGCTATCTATCTAGACACAACTCAACATAGCTATAGTGTTGGGTTTAATAAGATGTTTTATAATAGGAAATATAACTAAAAGCTTCCTTTACATAGCCTACATGAAATTAGATGGGAGGCATTTTTGAACAGTTTAGTTGTCTGTATTTTTATGCTAGTACACTAATAATTCTTTAAGCAAAAGTCTGCAACATATTTTATTTCTGGTTCTATATTGCCTATGTTGTTTTTTTTATAGAATGGCCATAATAAAATTATAAAAATATATTGATATTCTGAAAGTCCTAGCAAATCACTGTATATTAAAGGACTTCACAGAGCTGCTGAGTTGCACACACTACAAGGAGTATCTGTGCATTTCGTTAAGTTCCTGGAACAACTCTGACAGGTATAACCTCCATACTTTTACAGGTTAGGGAGTGCACTCTTAAGACTGGATCAACATAAGTTCAAGCTCGGGACTCTACGTTTCCCCAACACGTGTCATAAATTTGCCTGCTTTTGCAAGTCGTGTTCCCAGCTGGTAGAAAAAAAGATAAACTGTCTCATTTGTGTCTGAAATCAATCAAACACAGTGCTTATTTCATACGTGTTAGCCCGTGATTGGATCTCTTAGCTGAGAATCTGGATTCCACCGTTAGATGCCAGAAGTGGCAGTTATCTATGGATAGGGGTGTAAGTGGATTGGAATTAAGAGAAAGGAGATAAAGTGTGACAGAAGGCATTTACTGTGTACATTGCCATCTTGGGCTAAACAAAGCACCAAGCACGGGCTGTGGGCCAGAGGATGACCTTTAACTACTTTTGTGCTTGGGGCAGCCGCTGGGTTCCTGACTATGCCATGCCGTGCCATGCCAGGAATCTGAGGATTCTCTCCAAGGGAACCATAAAATTCAAAAGCCGAAACAACTGTGTTTTTCACGTTTGCAACAACTGTGAAATTCTTTTCCACAAATTATAAATGTTCATAAATATATATTCAAGAATAAATATCCTGTTTGTAGGAAGATGGTACTCTAGTCAACCATGAAAACATATGATTATAGAAAAAAAATCTTGATGAGGAATCCTAGTCTAATGTTTGTGAGATAAACGTAAGGATAAGTCCCTGAGCTGTGTGTGGAGGACTCACATGGTGTGTTGGAGAAGTGGAGGGTCTTGGTGGACAGTCAGAGGGGTGTATCTCCTGGTGACCAACCTTTGAAAGTTTCTTGATTTGAACAATGCAAATAGTGCCAGTGGACCATTGTGAGAATGGAGTAATGTTTCTGGTTGACTGGAAGGAATAAACTTGGTACTTTCATTGTTGACTGTACTGCCCGGATCCTGCTAACAATATGTGTGCATTTTATTGTTTCAGTGAGGACCGTATATATATAATCTTCTGGTAGATTTTCTTACCCATGTTTCCATTTTACTCAACCCTGGTCATATTACACTAGAATGCTGCTTGAGGATAAATTGTTATTTTGGGTAACTAAGGTCTTAACATGTGTTTCTTCTACAGGAAGGCATGACCTTACTTTTCAAATTTCATCTTGTGCTCTTATTTCATGTCACTAACTGCTAAAATTGTGAATATTTTGCTGGACTCTTAAGTGCTAAATTATAAACAACTCCAGCCAGTTTCTACTGATCTCTTCAAGAGGAGCAAATGAGATTACTCTGACAAGAATATATTAGAATAAATAAAAATAATCTTTTTCCCAAATAGAACTGTGTCTGCCCTGCCATATGACTGCTCACATCAAAGTATGAGACTTGGAAATTAGGAGAGATTATTTTGGATTTAGTTATGCTTAGTCATGAAAACAAAACAAAACAAACACCAAATTCTGCAGAATAAGCAGTTTGGTTTAACTTTAAAAAAAAATAGTCCATTTGGCATTCTATTTCAAAATGGTGAAAAAATTCAGTTAAATTCAAAAGTCCCCTTTTGTAAACCCTTTGAATTCAGTTAAATTCAAGAGTCCCCTTAGTGTAAACCCTTTGATGGTTTACACTAAGCTGTTTTCTTCTTAACAAAGAGTTTTTGAAGAAGGCATGTTCTAAGAAGTATCTTAACTGGAGTGTTTGTGAGTCATGAGTAAGATCTGAACCTGAACTTCAGCAAGTCTCTCAGCTCATCACAGATGACCTGTGGCACTATTAGTCCTGTGAGGATCTGAGCTAAAGTTATCATGCTGAGGGAACACACATCACAAGAACATTCATGGCATCCTGTCCCCTTGCTTTAATATGTGATGGAGCATATTAAAAATACTGTAGAAATCCTAGATCCAAGACTTTTCACCAACACAGTTAGCATATAGTTTCCTGGACCCAGCAGTAAAACTGTGAAGGTACCGACTGCTTTAAAGAGCTGCTGTAAAGATGAAGTAGTCTCTGCCTCCAATATCTCCTGTTGACTTTTAATGATTGCTTCTTCACTCTTCTTGTAGAACCCTTGAAGTTTCAATCAGCTTTAAAGATGGGAAGTCTGCCATCTCAAGATCCTTAACAATCACAGCCACAGAATGTGTGAGTACAAAGCTAATTGCCTTTAAAAAGAGTTTTGTCATGAGATTAAAATGCTAGGGAATCTTTGCACTGTTTATTACAACAAGGAAGCCTCAAACCAAGAGTAACAACACAAGGAAACATTTCTATAGAATTTATTTTAACTTCTGTTTTGATGTTTTTAAAAGGACTTCTAATATACTATACATTACATATTTATAGTTATAAAATTATCAATGTCATAGTTTAGATTGAATAAGGTGAGAGAGAAACAAAGCATTCTTATCAGGAGGTTAAATATGGAGGTTATTTTTTCTATTATGAAGCTTAGATTTTAGTAATTCTAGATGTTGATCAGGTTTTGAAATTATTAGTGAACCTTAGTAGATGACACCATCATTTTGTGAACCTAATCATTTTATCCACATATATGCTGTATGTAAGTAAGAAATCTCATTCTGAAAGCTTTGCTATAGCTAAGTTTGAAACTATATTTTAGTTATTTATCTGTATTACCTAAAAGTCAGTATTTTAAAACATAAACACACACAC